GTTTTGTTTATTTCTGACAGAGAGAGAGAGAGAGAGAGAGAAAGAGCATGAGCAGGGGAGGGTCAGAGAGAGAGGGAGACACAGAGTCTGAAACAGGCTCCAGGCTCTGGGCTGTCAGCACAGAGCCTGACGTGGGGCTCAAACCCACGAACTGTGAGATCATGACCTGAGCCGAAGTCGGACACTTAACCGACTAAGCCAACCAGGCACCCCTATAACACTCTTCTTGTAGGGGTGCCTGGGGGTTGGGCTCTGGATTTCAGCTCAGGTCAAGATCTTACGGTTGTGGGATGGAGCCCCGTGTAGGGCTCCTTGCTGCGCAGGGAACCTGCTTAGGATTCTCTTTCCCTCTCCTTCTTCCCCTCCCCAACTCATGCTTGCACGCTCTCTCTCAAAAAAAAAAAAAAAAAATTTTTTAAAGAACACTTTGTAAAAAAAAAATTTTTTTTTTAAAGTAAATGATTTGGTAAACAATGTTGAATTGCTTTGTGAAATTTTAGGACAAAGTCAAGTTACCATTTCCATGTCACTGACACACACACACACACACACACACACACACACACACACACACACACTCCATTCTATTCTAAACTCCAGGGCATGAAAGCACCCAGCTGAGGGCTGACCAGCATGTTTTTGCTAACGATCTCCAGTTGGGAAGGAAGGACAGATCAGGTCCGGAGCAAATCTCTGTAGGAAAACTTCAGTACAGTTTGTCTTGGATCAACTCGGTCTGGAGTCCAACTCCCAATAACATTTAGAGATAGCTCTCACCAGGGAAAAACACAAGCCTGAGTGTTTCTGAGAGAACGCGTATCAAGGTCTACTGCCTACGACTGCTGTACAACTTACTATCACGATATAACTTTTATGCTTATTATTTGCAACGGTAACAGTCATCCAAAAAATCTGTAACTTTTCACTGTGCAGTTACTGTGTGCCACGCACTGCTGGGCTTTGTGGGCTTCGATTTGTTTGATTCACCCAATTAACTTTTAGTGGAGGAGGTGCTCAAGAAGGAAAGCTCTAGGGGCCCTTGAACAGCTCAGGCAGTTGAGTGCCCACTTGGGCTCAGGTCATGATCTTGCAGTTCGTGAGTTCGAGCCCCACATCAGGCTCACTGCTCTCACTTCAGACAGTCCCTGTTTCAGATCTTCTGTCCCTCTCTCTTTCTTTGCCTCTTCCCCGCTAGTGTTCTATCTCAAAAATAAATAAAACATTTTTTTAAAAAAGAAGAGGGGCGCCTGAGTGGTTCAGTCAGTTGAGCCTCCAGGTTCAGCTCAGGTCATGATCTCGGGGTTCTTGGGTTCTAGACCCGAGTCGGGCTCTGTGCTGACAGCTCAGAGCCTGGAGCCTGCTTCAGATTCTGTGTCTCCCTCTCTCTCTGCCCCTCCCCTGCTCACACTGTCTCTCTCTACAATAAATAAACATTTTTTTAAAAAAAATTAAGAAGAAGGAAGGCTCTCAGTGGGAGAGCTAGGCTTTCAATTCCCCTTCTCTAAAGTGGGGGATAATAGCTGCGTGGAAGAGAGTAGTTGTGACGAGTACATGAAATAATGTAGATAGAGCACTTGAGCCCAGGTTTTTCCACTGTCATTTCACAGGCATCGAGAATTGAATGATACATTTTAAAAATATGACCTGTAATAATTTAAAAAAAAAACGGCAGGAAATGGAAATTTTTAAGATTCTAGAGTATTTCAATGTGCCCTTCAATATGTCCGTCCTTCTGGAGGTGAACTTGGGGGTGGTGTTTGATCTACTGGTCCCCAGGAGCCAGTCTCTGCTAACCCTGGCGTCACTCCACATCAAAGGAGACAGGAGAAGTCAGAGGAACCGAAATGCTGCCCACACTTCAAAGGGAGTTCCTCTTCCGGAAGTTGTTACAGCCTTTCAAGGAGGGTAAAACAGCAGTGCAGCTGGGGGGGGGGGTGCTGGGGGGGGGGACTCACAGCGAGGTACAGCGACGACATCTAACTGGCTTCCACGCTGGGACGTGGAACTTTCCGGGGTCCAAACAGTGCAGCGAGGACTGAAGATGTCGCTCTGTATACAGACTGCGGGCCCCTCCGCCTGGCTCCCCGGGCAGCAGCCGAGGGGCAGCGCGCAGCTCCGTCACAGAGCGGCCGTCACCCGCGGCCGGTCCCCTGCGGGCCGAGCCCCTCTCTGCGCTCCGTCAAGTCCACTCAGACAGCTCGGATTCCCGGGCTCCTGCCGTGTGGCTAACACATTGGATGGCTGGGTTTCAAAATCACAACCAGAAATAAAACACCCTCTATTTTGGGGGCGGAGATGGCGGGGATGCAGGGAAGTGAGAGATTCGGGGATGGGGGGGTGGTGGTGGTGAAGAGGGGCCCTAAAATGATCCGTCTCCTGAACAGGTGCTCTGGGCCCAGCATTTGAAATCCCCCTCTCCCAGCCCCCCCCACCCCCCGCCTTAGGCCCTCAGCTAAGCTGACTGTGGACAACAGACCCGTCTGCACCCCACTTTTTAGTGACGGGGGTGGGGTGGGGTGCGGGGGCAGAAACAGGCTGCGACGGCGTGGGGGATTTCCCGGCGCTCCCCTAATAGGCTCGGGAGGCGGTCAACGGCGGCGGCCCCTCCGGAGGGCCCTGGGGTACCCCCTCGGCGCGCACGTACTCCCCGCCCTTAAGCATCCCCCTTGCCCCTGCGCGTTCACAGCCTCTCAACACCCTACTAACCGCCCCCGCCCCCCCTCCCCGAGCCGGTTCGCACCGCCCAGCCCACCCCCCCCCCAGCACACTCTGACCCCGCGCGGCCCCACCTCACCCCCCTGCGCACCCCCTCGCCGGCGCAGCCCCGGGTGTCTCGGGACCCACCCCCCGCACCCCCTGCCGAGCCCGCGCGGGGCGGGGGCCGGATGCGGAGACGTGCCGCACGTGCGCCGCGCGGGGATTGGCAGCGCGCGCCCCGCCTGCGCCCCCGCGGCCCCGCCGAGCTCCGGGGCGCGGGCTGGTGAAGGGCGTCCCGAGCCGCGGCGGCTGCGGCCGGCCCGGAGCGCGGGGGGCCGCCGGGGCGCGCGGGGCCGGGCTGCGGGGCGCGCGGCGGCGGGGGAACAATGACAGCCGGATGGCAGGGGGGTGGGGGCGCGGGAGCGGCCCCCGGAAAGCGCCGCTAACGGCGCGGGTGCGCTCTCGCTCGGCGCTGCTAAAACGGGCTTGCTCCGAGGGGCCGGAGATGCTGTTGCTGCCGAGTGAAAATACTTTCAGTAAGTGATGAAAAAATTTTCCACTTTATTCGGTTGTTGGCTGGGGCCCAGTGCACTGACGTCCCAGAGTTCTTCGGGGAAGAGCCGGGAGGTTTCCAGCATCCTCCGACCTGAGTGTCGCCGGGAGAAGAGTTAAGACCGAGCCTGAACATTGTAACGCACCTGGCGGCGCTTGAGAAAGTGACAAAGGCACAGCTCAGGTGCGTGGCTCAGGGACTGATGCCCGGGCCCAAAATTGTGTCCATTAAGGGACTGGTAATGGCTGGGCTTAGCCCGGGAAGGTTCCCCGAAGAAGGCGATTTGAGGGGAGGCTGTGGCTGCGCGGCCTAGGACAGGAAGAGCAGTCCGGGACGGGCCGAGCGCGTGGACGGCGCTCCCACCGGCTGCCTGGGGACAGGAGGCAGCAAAGGCGCCAGCAGCCCTCAGGGGTTCTCGGGTGCGAACCACGCAGGGCCTGTGGCTCCTGGTCCCAGCTAGTCAGCCAATGAAAGATAGACGCAGGGGACCCTCCCCACCGCCTCCACCTCCAGCCATTGTAAACTTACTCACCTGCGGAGGAATTGCCACTGGAAACATTCTGGGACACATGGCCAGAGGCTTCTCTTGGGGGTTGCTTTCCCAGGAGCCCACGACAAGTGTCTATCAAGGACCAAAACACCAGGAGCGTTCGATCAGTCATTCTTTGGGATCAGAGCGCCTGCTGCTTGTAAAGCCATACCAACGCCATTACCAGCGGTGAGGGGGCAGAGAGGGAAAGTAAGAAGGACAGAGGAAGAGCCATGCTTCTGCCCTGAGCATCTTAGAAGGGTTTGTGCCCCTCTTGTACGTCCCGCGTCATGCTCCCTGCTGTAAAGGTCAGCGTCTTGGATTTGTGTAATGCTTTACAGTTCCAAACTGCTTTCACATGCGTGATTTATCTGGTGATCACTGGAAACTATCAGACAGGTATTACTACTCATGTTTAACCAGCGGAGGAAGTGACGCTCAGATTAGCTAAATCCTATACCCAAAGTGATACAGGCTTTAGTGAGAGTGGGGGACCGGCACTGTGTTCCGGCTGCAAATCCAGGGCTTTAAGTGCATCCGAGGAAGGAAACCAGGCCTGCCTCATGCTTCTGGTGCCCAGGGCACACCCAACAATTAAAATGAAATCCAGAAGGACTAGGGTAATTTCTTCTCTTAGTCATTGCTCTTTCAGACTGTCCCCTTGCAACACAGGTGAGCTCTGGTATTATACCCCTGTGTGTGAAGAAGGGGTTCCGTTGGAACTCCAAGGAAAGCCAGGGAAGAACGGAATGGGGATGAAGACTGGTCACCAGTTGGGGCTCTCTTCCTAATCCACACCTACTCGTTAGGCCGACTCAGCCCTCCCTCACCCACTGGAGATGCTTTCTTCCTGTCCCAGGCTGGGCCTGGCCTGCCCCAAACAGGCTGCACCCAGGGGTACAGGGAAGCCTGTACCTCAGCCACTGCCATCTCACCCCTCAGGAAACAAAAACATCACACCCCTCCCATGGCCATGAGAACACTGTTAAAATGAGTCTGGCTCCTAGAGGACTGTCACTTGAGCTGTGGTCTCTGCCAAGCCACCACACGAAATCTCTGGCCTGTTCAGCAAAACAGATAATCCTCCGTGGTTCCCAAGACTGAATGGCCATCACAGTCAAGCTTTTTAAAAATGCACATCAGGGTACCTGGGTGGGGCAGTCAGTGAAGCGACCGACTTCGACTCAGGTCATGATCTCGTGGTCCACGAGTTTGAGCCCCGCATCGAGCTCTGTGCTGACACTCAGAGCCCGGAACTTCCTTCAGATTCTGTGTCTCCCTCTCTCTGTGTTCCTCCGCCACTCGTGCTCTGTCTCTCTCTCAAAAATGAATAAAAACAGTAAAAAAATTTTTTTCGGGACACCTGGGTGGCTCAGTCTGTTGAGCGTCCGACTTCGGCTCAGGTCATGATCTCATGGTTCGTGGGTTCGAGCCCCACGTCGGGCTCTGTGCTGACAGCTAGCTCAGAGCCTGGAGCCTGCTTCAGATTCTGTGTCTCTCTCTCTGACCATCCCCTGCTCACACTGTCTCTCTCTCTCTGTGTGTCTCTCCTAGAAATAAAATAAAACATTTAAAAAAAAGGGAAAAATAAAAATAAAAATGCACATCACTGAGCACATCTCTGGATTGAGATTCAAGAGGTCGTGGATGTGTGCTATTTGTTTTGTTTTAAATACTCTGAAGTGATTTAGATGATCAGGCGGGTTTGGAACCCACAGACTGTAGAATGACTCTCATCTGAATGGGCGGATTATTGGTCAAGTGGGGAACCTGTCATTCGGATGTTCATCTTGCCTAAGAATGGGCAGAAGGACAGCTCCATTCATGAGAGCCCAAAAGGGAACTAAAACCGCTCGTGGTAGGAAAATGCTGTATTGAGTGTAAGACCTTAGAGGAATATAAGGTAGGGAAGTGAGAATGGGTGGGAACTTATTTTCACAAAAATAAAATTAAAGAGTCAGTAATCTAAATAGAGATAAGGTCCGTGGCTTACATTTACGTGACTTCTCTTCTGATCAATGGACCATGTTTGCTTCATTTCCTTACTCTCTAGATGTGCACTGTTCCTACAGCCACGTGTGGGTGCGGATCCCCTAAAATGTGCCTCGTCCAAACTGAACTGTGCTGTCCATGTAAGAATCACACTGGATTTGAAAGACTTAGTGAAGGAAAGTGACAGCTCGTGGACACCTTTAACACTTATTATGTGTTAGAAGAATATTGGAGAGCCACTGAATTAAAATCAAATACATTATTAAAATTAATTTCACCTGTTTCTTTTACTTCTTTTCATGTGGCTCCTAGAAAACTTTAAATTACATATATGGTTCGTAGGGGCTGAGAACGTTCTTGATCTGGGAGATGGAGGTTTATGTGTATGCGAGTAGGTGTTGAATTCATCCAACTGTGCCCTTAAGCCTTGTGTACTGTACTGCTATATATAAATAAAATTCAGATTAAAAATTTAAAGACAAACAAACAATGGATTCCTGTTGCATTTAGAGCAAAAGCTAAGCTCCGCTCCTTGGCCGCCAGGCCTGGCCAACTCCTCTCCCTCACCCTATACCAATGTCCCCATGGCTCACTGACCTTCCCACTTCTCAAATGTGCCTCGCTCACACCCATCTTGGGATATTTGCATGTGCATTTTCTTCCTTGACCATCTGTATCAGGAAATATGTTTTATCCAAAAGGAACAAGAAACCCAAATTGGCTCACACATTGAAGGGAGTTTACTGGCTGTAGACCTAAGTCCAGAAGCAAATCAGGCTCCAGCCAGGCTATAGTCAGGGACTTGGATCCTTTTCTCTGTGATTCTCTGGGTGCTCCCCTCAACCGGTCACCCTTATCCTCATGCTGACCTCCTCATGCAGCAAAAAGGCTGCAGAAATCCCTGGCCTCACATCCATATCCCACCTCCTCCAAAAAGAGAGTTTCTTGTTCTCCAACACTCAAAGGCAAGTCCTGGACTTCACCTAACCAATCCCTTAGCCCAAGAGAATCCCACACACTAACTGGTGTAACCCTGAACCAGTCAGTGCTCAAAGGACCCTAATTAGAATTAGGTGGTGAAAGCCCCATGCCTCCCAAGTCTCAAGGCTACAATGTGTTTGAGACCTTCAGATGGGTCACTAGACCACCCTACCACCTTGAGTCACTGTCTAGACCAGTACTTGGCAAACATTTCTCTCAGGAAAAAGAGTAGATAATGAAGGCTTGCATGCCTCCTAAAAGTCTGTATTTTAGAATCCTTAAAAATATATAAATTATTCTTAGCTCATGGCCTTACCAAATAGGCCAAGGGCCGGATTTGACCCAAGGGCCAGGTTTGCCAACCCTGATCCAGACCATCATGACGCTTGTGATGTCTAAACGTACCTCGTTTATTTCTCTCCCCTGACTATGACGTAAGCTCCAGGAGAGCAGGAACCACGTCTGTCTCGTCTTCCACTGTCTTCTCAACCCCAAAACGGTGCTGCGCACAGAGATGCTCATTAAATCCTCACTGGATGAACGATGAGAAAAACTTTAGGGCAGAGTAGGAGGTCGCAGTGCCTCACTCTGGCCTGGCGTTTTCTGCCCTCTCTATCTAGAGGACACAGATGCCCCATCCAGGGCAGGACGCCGCTGGTCCACGAGATGTCTTTATGCAAACCAGGAAAAGGAACCGCCTCTGGCTGGTGCAACCCAGCACCCAGGGCCGTGGTGAGGGCCGAGGGCTGGACAGCGACCGGCGGCCCCGGTGGAGTTCCGAGTCAGAGTTCTAAGAACTCACCTGCTTTTATTGTCCCCACTCTTCTCCAGCGGAATCCTCTGGTTGTGCTCGGCTTGGTGCCTTGACTCTCTGTTCTCTCACCACAACTCCCAAAACCCTCTTGTTCTGGTTTTCAGCAAAATGACTGCAGTTTGCACGGATTGAAGGGAAATTCTTATTGGGTACCTAGATGGGCATCCAAACCTAACGGAATGTGCTGGAAAGTGCCGGAATGTTCTGGAAAGCACCGCTGGGTTGGTATGCAGCTAGGGAGGGATTTCTGTCCTGTGAGCTTACTAAAGCTCAAGAACGACGGTGGGAACTTCGCAGAAGGGCCAAAGTTGTCAAGGAAATGGGGAAGCTATTGTGAAAATACAGAGTAGTATGTTGAGGGTTCTTCCATCTGGGAAGACAGAAGTCAAGAAGGAATAACATCTGTTTGATCACGAATGTTATGGTGAGGGTGGTCATGAACTCACTCACCAAATCCTGATCTAAACCAGGGTGCGCCGCTCAAAGCTTGAGAGAATTCCGCTGAGGAAGAATAGGAGAAAATCTGACTTCACTCGGTGGGTGGTAAGCTCATAGAACTCATTACCCCAAGGAGGAATCAGGCGGGAAATAAAAATGCCCAGTAACCAAGACAGACTTAATGACTTACAAGAGGAATGAGGACGCCTTGGGATATCAGGATGTGCTCTTAGAAGTGGCTGACAGGAAGCAGAACTTCACATTGCTTCCCTGCGTATCCCTGGAAGGGACAGAGCTCCAAGCGGAAAGATCACAAGCCATGGCTGTACGCCACCCCATGTCTTGGGAGGTCTGGAAGATTCCCTTGCTCAGGGGAAGGGGGCCTCATCGATCAAAGAGTGGCTTTCCCAACTTGGGTTCCTCTAGGCCAGCTACAGTCTATCACTGGGAATCTGGAGATCATTAAGATCATAAAATGATGTTTGTGGAAACATTACATAAATGCCTACTCAGTGGAAACTCGCCTGTTGTCATTACAATAGCTAACATATATTATGTGCTATGTGCTGTTATAAGTACTTATTTAATCCTTATAATAACCCTGTAATATGGGTACTATCATATCATCACCCTATTTGACAGATGGGAAAACTGAGGCACAGAGAAGTAACTCTTTCAAGGTCCCACAGCTAATAAGTGATCCAGGATTCAAACTCAAGTTGCCTAGCTGTGGAGGATGTAATTTCCCCCATGAAACCAAGGTTAAGGCCACCCCCACAGTTCTACTGAGGAAGGCACGGCTCAGCTCCAGTCAAGTGTTGCTAGGAAGGAATGCAGGCCCATTGTGCCCGCACAGATTTTTTTCAAGGAAAGTCATGCGAGTCGACACCAGACTCTGGATCGAACAAATCCAGCTAAATGTAGCCTGAGGTCATATGGCTCCTGACTTCTGCTCTACCCACAGCTCCTCTCCGGCAGCCTGTCTCACAGACAAGATACTCACTCGAGTCCCTAGGCATGTGCTCTGATTGGAAGGACGGACTCTCGGGGCTGGGGTGCTTCTGTGACTGGGGGTCTCGCCCCAGTGGAACAGATCTGGTGCCCCGGCCACTCAGCAATGTCCAGGAATCTCTCTGCTCCCTTGCAGTTCCGGGACCCAAGGAAACCATGAATGCCATCACTGAAAGTGGCATCCAAGGCTCTGAGGCAGAGAGAGAGGTGGGTGTGTGGGAGGATGGGCCCTGTGGCATAGAACCTGATCATCGAGAACAAGCGCATAAACCGCACAAAATGTTTAGAACCCAGGGCTACACCTCAGAGCTGGTGGGTGTGAGAAAATTGGCAAAGCAGAGGCAGGGCAAGGACCCGTGGCATCAAGTGGAGCCTTCATTCAGGGTCACCCCTAGGGTTGGGCAGGTTGTGCACTGCACCTCAAGTGGGACAAAGAGGACTGAGGGCCTTTTTAAAGTTTGCACAAAGGCACTATCTATTTGCTAAACTGAGCACTCCTGAGGCTGTGTCTGCCTTTTCTAATTCATATCAAGTCTCCCTATGTAGCAGGAGGACCCTGAAGAAATGTGGGGTGCTGCTCTACAGCACGGGGCCTGATGTGCCACCTCAGGGCAGGGCTCCGAGCTCCGTGACAGGACCGAAGCTCAGGACACCAGGATCTGGAGCTCACTGCACCAGCCGGTGCTCCAGGGAGGAAGCAGACGGAGGGCCAGGAGGCCAGCCTGCCAGAGGACAGAGGCTCAGCTTCCTCATTCTGTCCCCAGTGAGGAGGGCAAGGTCCACCCAGCCCCTGTGGGGAGCAGGAAGTGAGAGAAAAGGCCACACCTGGGCACACGACCCTTTATTGCACAAGAGCCCCACCCCTTCATAAATGTGGCTTAAACAGCGTCCTGGATCCTGACCAAACAGATTACACCAGCAGATTACCCTGGGGGGGGGGGGGACGGGGGCAGGGGGAGGGAGGGGGAGCCAGCAGAGGGGTGGAGACTTTCTCTCTTCCCGACAGAAGGTGGAACCAACAGAAAGAATCTCAGTTAATCCTCACAATTTCCCTGGTCACAGGTAAGGAAACTGAACCAGGAGCTAAAGAAAGATAAGGAATTGGGTCAAGATCACATAACCAGTAAGTTGCAGAAGTGGGCTTTGAACCTGAGGTGGACGCTGTGGCCTCTGCCCGGGTTCCGCTTCAGGGCTGATGACAGCTCACGGCCAGTCCCTCCCCAGGAATAGCCCTTCCTGAAGGGAGCCACCCCAGCCCAACGCTGGCCTCTTCCTGGGGGCAGCCCCCATCCAACTCAGCCGTGCAGGGGTGGGGCGGGGTACAAAAATCAAGTCCCCTGCCCCAATTTGAGACAATTCCAAAGGGCCACCTTGCTTCAGGGTTTTTATTGCAACTGTTGCATGTCAACATCTCCCTCTGCTTCCCTCATTCTTAGAGCTGCTGCTGGGGGTTGCGGGGGTGGTGCATGCTCCCCAATAAACTCTCTGCATGCAAATCTCCCTCTTAGAATTGCCTTTGGGGACATCCCACCTAAGACCCCTGCATCCCCCACTTTTCTGAAACACTACCTCCCACCTCGAGCTTGCCAGGATAGAAGAATCTAGAAATCCAGTAGGGAGGGTGAGGCAAACCAGCAATGAGCACCAGCAGGAAGCCACCATCACCCCCAAGGCAGAACAGGGCAGAACAGGGCAGAACAAGACAGCGCTACCCCAGCCCAGGATCACCCAGCAGAAGCTGGGACCGCAGGAGGTCACAGCGGGTCGGTCTGGGAGAAGCAGAAACCCCTACTGAAGACACCCTTGAAGTTCGGGAGTGTAAGACCCTGGCTCCTCCCTTCTTCCCTCCTCAGCTTGATGATTACAGACTACTTAGAAGCACAGACCATGAATACCCACATTTACGTTTGCACCTATTTAGGTAATATTAAAAACTAAAAAGGTTAAGTCAATTTCAGGTCCCTTCTGAAAGGGAAACATTGCTGTGGAACGAGAGCATCATCAGCCTCAGCCCCGGCCCTGCACACCCTCAATGTCCAGACTTTCTACTGCTTTGACCCCTTCTGGATTGGGGGTGGGTGGCCCAAAATGGCCTGGACAGCCAGGGGACTTTAGAGCCAGAGGGTCCATCCTTTGGAGGGACCCCCTAACTTTAGGGGGCCATCACTCCAGGGCATTAAAGTCACCTCGGGGCTTGTGAATCTCAATCTAGACGAGGGGGTGCGTGTGTGCAGTTTCCTTCTCTGGTTCACGGGAGAAGGACTGTGTGTGCACATCTTTTAAAATGAAGAGGAGTCATTGGCCTTGGTCATGGATGGAATGTGAATATATTTGGTTTGTACTGTGTGGAGGGAAAACTCCTCTGGCCTGTCCCCAGGGAAGGAAAACAGGTCCAGTGGAGAGATGAGGACCGGGGAGCCCAGCCCCGCCCGCCCCCTGGCTCCCAGGAGGCCAGGCCCCGCCCTGGAGACAGGCTGCCATCAGTTTGTTTTCCAGTGGGCTGGAGACCTGGGCTGAAGGCACATCTGCTTCTGTTTATTCTTCCTACTTATCTTAATGGGCCCCCACCCATCACTCCCTGTTACCCCTCACCACCGCCCTCACCATGCTGGGACACTCAGGTGTCCCTTGCTGCCCTGAGCAAAGACTCAGGGCTGGGGGAAGGTGGGGGCCAGGCTGGAGACTTGGTGTCCTGAGTTAAGGGTCCTCACTAATCACCCCCCGCCAAGCTCAACTGGACACTACGGTCAAAGTGGAAAAGAACCAAATGAGTAAAAGGCCAAAGATTCTCCTCCTGGGAAGGAAAGCAGGAAACTGGCAAGTTGCTAGGGGCAACCTTAGCTCTAAGAGAAATGTAATTACATTTAAATTTCAGGTTACACCTAGGCTAATAACTACAACTGGAAATTCCTGTGGGGAGGAGGAAGTTTTCTCCCGTTAAGAGATAATAGAGAGTTACTCGCCCTTGAACCCAGAACAGTCAGTTTCGTACAGGAAGAACTTCAGTCACATAGGGCCCCTGCTAGCCAATAAGGCACCTCTGTGCAGATTAGAAAAAGGGGCCCCTTTGTCCAGGCAGCTGCCCCCTCACTTCCCAGCACCCGGGGACAGGAGAAAAGGGACAGTTACATAAGCCTAGCAGCTCTCTCTCCCTCCGCTCTCCCTTTCATTAACGTGGACAGCCCGAGCTCTGAAGAGACTACCCCAGAAGCAGAGAAAACCACTGGTAGCTGTGAGAGGAGCTTGAAAGGCTTTTAACACTAACTTGGTCCAAAGTCTCTGCTCTATTTCATTCCATGATAAGGCTTCTGGTTGAGTTGTAAGAAAGCTTTCTAATCATGTTCCAGGACTGACCCGGGTTATCCTTAACTGTGATTATTGGCAATTTAGAAATCATGAGAAAGGTACCAGATTTCTCAAGGATTTTCTTTTTTTTTTAATTTAATGTTTTATTTTAGAGAGAGTGTGAGTGGGGGTCTGAGCGACAGAAGGAGAGAGAGAGAGAGAAAGAGATTGAGAATCCAAGCAGGCTCCATGCTCAGTGAGGAGCCCTACATGGGGCTTGATTCCACAACCCTGGGATCATGACCTGAGCCAAAATCAAGAAGAGTCAGGCACTCAAGCAGCTGAGCCACTGGGTGCCCCATCAAAGATTTCCTTCTTTAAATTTTGCTTAATACCTGTCATCATCAAGCATGGTTTTTTGTTTTGTTTTTAATTGTAGACTTCATGAAGCTCCATTCTTTTTAAATAGGGTTTTTTTTTGTTTTTTGGTTTTTTTTGGTAGCAAAATTGGCAATGTAGCAGGGTGGTTCCAAGCCAGATTTTGGAATCAGAATGATCTAAGTTCCAATTTTAACTTCCCTAATTGCTAGCTGAGTGGCCCTGTGCAATTTACTTAACTTCTCTACACCCCAGTGTTCTTGTCTATAAAATGGGGATAAGTAAGAGTATTTACCAGAAAGAACTGGCACATGAACTAAATGAGGCGATGCATGGAAAACACTTACAAAGTGCCAGGCACACAGTACCTAACACTCATTAGCTACTCTTAAGCTTCTTTTAGATGGTTAGGGAAAGTGACACCTTACTTCTGAGTAACCGAGAAGGTTGACCATGTTTTCTGTCCCTTGGAGAAATGGCTGGTTCCCTGTCTGGGGCAGAGAAAGTGAAACTGGGGCATCAACTTGTGCCAAAAGACTAGGACATGTTCAAAAACATAGGAGATATACAAGGGATTCTTACTGGCCAAATTCGGGACAATTTAAGCATCAAAGTGAATAATGACTACAATGCATAACATGATGAATAAAACAAACTATGTGTCCATAGTGATATTCAAAACGAGAGGGGAAGGAAGGGAAGTAGCTAATAAAAATGGAAGGAAGAATAGAATTGGATATCACTATTTTGCAGCCCCCAATGAAACAAGTGATTTATATAAAGTTTATCAATGGAGCCACTGGATAAAAGTTTACTGGACAGTAAGATACTCACATTGCCACAGATGACCCACATATTATCAAGAGGGAAATGTCCCTTTACAATAGAGAGACCTGGGAGTCAACATCTTAACTGAGTAATCAAACTGAGCATCACCAATACTCCAACAATTATACACCATCTGATGTAACAGAATCTTTTTTTAAGGTTATTTATTTTGAGAGAGAGAACAGGAGGGGCGGACAGAGAGAGAAAGAGAGAGAAAATCTCAAGCAGGCTCTGCACGGTCAGTGTGGATCCCAATGTGGGGCTCGATCTCACAACCATGAGATCATGATCTGAGCTGAAATCAAGAGTCAGACACTCAACCAACTGAGCCACCCAGGTGCCCCTGACATAATATAACCTGAAATACACAATACCACCTGTGGATTATTCCTGCCAAAGTAACTACCACGAATCTAACCAAGCCTCAAGGCAACATTACAGCGTATGAGAAAGATGGAGAGAGAGGAACAAGAAAAATTAAGAAGATAAACTCACATGTGGAACAGACCATAAGACAACTGATGGGTGACAAAGGCTCTCTCCTTGACCAGACTTTAGTCAGCCTCCTTTGAACGTCTTTTGATTAGGCTTTGACCTTGGTCCCCACTCTCTCTTGAGGCTGCCCAGCTAGTCTTAGCAAAGAATCTTGCTAAATCATCCCCCACCCTTGACTTTCTGATCACTCTTGACTTCCGATCAAGGTCTTCATCACCGAGCTTTGATGTCTAAGCCCTTGACCTGCCTTTAGCGAGAGTCGGGCCAGTGTAGCAAGAATCCCACTTGGCCTTGATGTCTGCTCTTAGTACTTCCACTGACGCCCTCATCTTGCTCTTTGGCCGCAAGTCTCCACCTGTCCTTGTTTCAGAGCTGAAGACGATCCTTCTCCCTTATTACAATATCTTCATTATCATTTGAGAATAACTTTTTCATTAACACTTCAAAAAGTTACTGTCATTTTTTTTTTAAAGGTGGATTACTTTAGAATCAAAGAGGTTAGAAAGACTTAATGATCCAACGAATATAAGATACCGTGATTGGATTCTGACCAAAAAAGAAAAAAAAAATGTACAAAAGATATTTGGAGGACAACTGGATCCAATTGGATCCTTTTGATGGACTGGATATTATAAAAGTATTGTTAGTTTCTGCAGGTGTGATAATGGTACCGGTTATGAGGAGGATGTCTTTGCTCCTGTGAAATACCCGCATTTTGGTAACATCTGTATTTAAAGGTTGTCTTAGTTTCCTAGAACGGCTGAAACAAAATACCACAAGTGGCATGGTTTTCAGTAACAGAAACTTGCCCTCTCACAGTTCTGGACGCTAGCGGTCTGAAGTCAAGGTGTTGGCGGGCCATGCTTTGTCAGAAGGTTCTGGGGGAAGATCCTTCCTCGCGCCCTCCCAGCTCCTGGGCATTCTGGCAATCCTTGCTGCCCCCTGGCTCGGGACCACATCAGCTCTACTCTCTACCTACAAGTCACATGTCCTCCCCTGTGTGCTTCTCTGTGACTTCAAATCTCATCTCTCTCTCTTTATAAGGACACCAGTACTGGATGTAGGGCTCACCTTCTCTAGATCATGCTCACCTTAACTTGATTACATCTGCAAAGGTGCTACTCATAGGCAGGTCACATTGACTGGTATGAGGGTTGAGCACTTCAGGGGAACGTAATTCAACCCACAACAGGGGCGAAATGTCAAGATGTCTGAAATTCACTTTCACTTATTTTGGCCAAGGAAAAAAACCACCTTAACTAGAGAAAGTGTGAGAAAGGAAAAAAATTAATATAGTGAATGTGATCATCGTGAAATCTAGGAAGGTTTAGGGGGGAGTATTGTATTCTTTCAAATTTTCTATAGGTTTGAAAATTTTCAAAATCAAAAATTGAAGAAAATTTAAAAATACAAATAAATAAACAATTGAAGGAAAACCAGACTCCTGACAATTATGCCATCCACAATCCTATTGTTTCATATATATCTATAATTTTTAAACAAGCATTCCCATTTTTAATGAGCACTTCAAGTTGATTCCAATGCACTGCTAGGGTTGAAAAAACACTATAAATGTTAATATTATACCATACTATTAAAAATACTATTGGCGTGGCTCATTCAGTTAAGTGTCTGACTTCGCCTCAGGTTATGATCTCACAGTTCATGAGTTCAAGCCCCACATGGGACTCTGTGCTGACAGCTCAGAGCCTGGAGCCTGCTTTGGAACCTGTGTTTCCAGCTCTCTCTCTCTCTCTGCTCCTCCCTGGCTCATGCTTTCTCTCTCTCTCTGTCTCTCTCTCTCTCTCAAATAAAAATACTACTAATACTAAATAGTAAATATATTATAAATATATGTACACACTAAAACACTAAATATATTTTGTAAATATAAATACTAAATATTCTAAATAATACTATCCTTATATTTATAATACTCAATACTCTAACTATCATAAATACTGAAAATGTCATAAACTCACATGGATGTATTTAAATCTCCTGCTCATTCTTTCTATCAACACACTCTAAGATGTGTCTTTTTTAGAGTATAAATTTACGTAAAATTGTGTCAATCAAAACACACACATACACACACTCACACAAGATGGTATTTCAGGGAACACTGGCCAATGTAACAACGTGTACCAATCTATCATTAGGTATATATATCACAGTAGGGAGTTACATCCAAAGTAAGTTCATTTCTCCTGAAGAGGCTTCAGCTAGGATTTTTCATCCCTCTCTCTGCTCTTATCTGTCTTATGGGTATATGCTTTTTTATTTTAAAGTCTCTTTACCCACATTTTCGTGGGGCTTGGGGAGGAGGCTGAGGCCGATGCACATGTTCAGTCTGCTGTGTTTAATGGGAGGTCCTCAGAGCCCAAAGTTTTCAACCCTAATTTTATTGAAAGAGGCTGCTTCGTGTAAATCTAGTCCCAGTTTCAAAATGGAAGTCAAGGAGAAATATGACTTGATTCACATATTTTGAAGACCACTTTCCAAAAATGCTTTTGGCCTATGTGGTTAAGTCTGAATTATCAGTCTAAGTATAATCATCTGACCATCGTGTGTGGACCGGGTCTACACAGCTCCGACCCAAAGCCCCAGCCTCGCCCCTTCTGCTGAACACCAGTGCCCACAAACAGAAGGTTCCCCTTCTCTCGCCCTGGAATAAACAGGAAGGTCTCTTGGAGCTGTGGTCTCAGGACTATAGTCCTGCCCCTAATTTCTTCAGACCCTTTTCTAAGAACTGAGTCATTGCAACATCGCACTCAGCCAGCTGCCTCAGCACAAGAAAAGCTTTGCTGTGGTGTGAGGTTTTGCGGGCTGCAGACTACATCTAGGTCAGCGAATTAAACTCCGCGGTGTGGTTACAGAGTCCAGCCTCATCTAGCTCAAGGGCAGTCTAACTTCAGCCTCTGGGCACTGGCTCTTTGGCGCCTGGGATACCCGGCCCCTCGGCGGGTGTTTAAGGTACGCCACTGCAAGTTGAAACCACTGGATGACATGGGTCTAAACTCAGAATCTTGTTTTCTCCACCAGGGCTCCAGGGTCTGAGAGTACAAGTACTCCGCTCCTGCAGACACGGAGATTTGTGTGTGCAAATTGGGACAAAAGAGGTAGGTGGAGAAGTATTTCTCTGTTCCTTAGTTTCATCTACTACTTGTGTTTTTTTTTTTGCTGCCACGATGACTCAAACATGAGCCTTTTTTTCTCAGTTCCCTTTCATGGAAGCTTTTAAGAAGAATTTCACAACAGATGGCCAACTGGTATACCTAGATAGGGTTTTACAAAAGGCAGTAGCCAATGAGGCGGAGTCACCTGATTCAGGAACTGGGTCTCAGATTTAGAGTGGATAAAAACCCCAGAAACTAAGTTATGTTAAAAATTCAAAATAAACAAAGATCCAAAACAACTCAGCAAATACTTACTTGAGGGCCTGCTGCTATCCAAGGCTCAGGAATACAGACATGAAAACCAGAGGTGCCTCTCAGGAGCTCTTTGACAATGGAGAAAGTGCACCACCATTCTAGTGGATGACTACACTTTTTACTTCCTAGCACCTACTCAGGCTTCCGGAAATAGTACCCCAAGTTCACTCTGGGGAAAACCCCTCCTTCATTCTCTGTGCTTTCATTGGAACTAGATCTTCCCCTGGCTCTAGAGCTGAGATACAAACTCCGGCCTGGTTATAGTGATTGTTCAGAGACATACATGAAATGTTTGCTGATCGTATTCAGGCAGATGTACTAGATACTTTTCATAGGGTTGCTACCAGTACGGACGATATGAGAACAGAATTGCCAGAAGCCACAAGATGAAATCTAAGAATGAGACATAGCAGATGACAGATCTGAATGAGAGAAACTAAGCTCCTTGGTGAAGCTATTCTTGAAGTTCCATATATTCCTAGACTTTCCTGTTAATTGTCCCAATCATCATTTTTATTTGTTTAAGCTACTCAGACGGCATTCTCTGTAATTTGCAGCTAAAACAGTTCTGTGTAATAAGTTGAATAGCGTCCACCAAAAATTCACATCCACCCAGAACTTCGGAATGTGACCTCATTAGAAAATAGGGTCTTCAAAGATGTAATCAAAGATGTTACAATAACATCATCTTTGATATAGAGTGTGCCCCAAATCTTTTTTTTTAAGTTTATTTACTTATTTGGATAGAGAAGGAGACAGCATGAGTGGGGGAGGGACAGAGAGAGAGAGAGAGAGAGGAGAATCCCAAGCAGGCTCCACGCTGCCAGCACAGAGCCCAATGTGGGGCTTGAACCCACGAAACCATGAGATCATGACCTGAGCCGATGCCAAGAGTGGGCCCTTAATTGACTGAGCCACCCACAGTATGCCCCAAATCTAGCGACTGGTGTTCTTAAAGATGAGGAGAGGCAGAGGCTGGAGGAATTTATGTTGCCAAAGGCCAAGGAGCGCCTGAAGCCACCAGCAGTGAGGACGAGGCAAGGAAGGACCCTCTCTAGAGAGCGCGTAAAGGGAACGTGGCCTTGCTGACACCTTGACTTCAAACATCCGGCCTCTAGAACTGTAACATTTCCAGTTTTAAGCCACACTGCTTATGGCACTTTATAACAGCAGCCCTGGCAAACCAATGCCCTCTGATACACGAAATCATTCAATATTCACTGGTCCCTAATATGGGTCTGAACAGATCTCAGCATAAAATCCAGAGACTGCAGAGAGACACCTGAACTGGAACATTATGAAGCCTGAAGAACTGTGTGTCCCACCAACCTGTCCCTGCAGGGGCCCCACTGGAAGGCCCGAGGAATCGGCAGGATTCATGGCCCTTGCTCTAGCCACTTTGCAAGCCACTCTCCTGACATGTGGATCTCTTTTTCTTCAACAGGGAAAGCAGCTCTGTTTCATATAAATTGAATACATTTCTCCCAGTTTGTTTTTCATCTTTTTACTTTGTTTATAGTAATCGTTGCCTTACAGAATTTCCATTTTTTTACATTTTCAAATCCATCTTTTTTTTTTTTTTAAAGAATAAAAATAATAGAATTTAAAAAAATACCATTTTGGGGGGGTGCCTGGGTGGCTCAGTCGGTTAAGCATCCAGTCATGATCTTGCAGTTCGAGTTTGAGCCCCACATAGATAGGGCTCTGTGCTGACTGCTCAGAGCCTGAAGCCTGCTTCAGATTCCGTGTCTCCCTCTCTCTCTGACCCTTCCCGGCTCATGCTCTGTCTCCCTCAAAAACAAAAACATTAAAAAAAAATTTTTTTCTTACAAATAGTTTATTATCAAGTTGGTTTCCATATAATACCCAGTGCTCATCCCCACAAGTGCCCTCCTCCATGCCCATCTCCCCCCTCCCCCCCCCACCCATCAGTCCTCAGTTTTTGTCAGCATTCAAGAGTCTCTCATGGTTTGCCTCTCTCCCTTTCCCCCACCATTTCCCCCCTTCTTCTCCCCCATGGTCCTCAGTTAAGTTCCTCCTAATCCTCCTATACGTGCAAACATATGGTAGCTGTCCTCCTCTGCCTGACTTACTTCCCTCAGCATAACACCCTCAAGGTCCATCCATGTTGCTACACGTGGCCAGATTTCATTGTTTCTCATTGCCATGTAGTATTCCATGGTATAGATAAACCACATCTTCTTGATCCATTCGTCTGTTGATGGTAAAAAAAATTTTTAACTTCCCATTTTTATCTAATGGGTTATACTACGTAATAATGTTGTAGCTTTTTTTTCATTTCTTTCTTTTCTTATTGTAGAACAAGACACATAACAAAATTTACCATCTTACCCACTTTTAAGTATACAGTTCAGTGGCATTAAGTACATTCATTCAGACTACTGTGCCACTGTCATCACCGTCCATCTCTAGAACTCTCCATCTTGTAAAACTGAAACTCTACACCCATTCACCGATAACTCCCCACTTCTCCCTCTCTTTGCCTCTGGTAGCCATTGTACTTTCTGTTTCTATAGGTTTAACTACTCTTAGGATTAAGGCAGCTTTCTTTTATGTTTACTTATACTTCCCTTACACTGCATTTCCGCCACCCTTATTGGGCGCCTCCAATAAACAGCAGCACTGGTAACGGCCACCATTTGTGTCCAGGCACCATTGTTCCCAGGATCCATGTCCAACAGCTCTAATCTTCTAGCGTCCCTGCTGGCTGGGTGGCATTCTGTCCATTTTACAGGATGAGGGAAGTGTGGCCCCAACGGGTTATGCAAACGGCACTGATTAGGAGTCTCACTCACCCTCTTAATTGGAAGAGGAAGGATTCGTGTTCATGTCTGTCCAGGCCAAAGCCAGGGCTCCTTGCACCATGCTATTTTAGACGACCTGCGTGTACGCCCTCAGAGTGAACAGCTTCTACAGACTTCTGATCTCGTCTCTCAAATGTGGACTATTCCTGGCTTTGCTCCCACAGGAGAAACTTCCTTTCAAATGCTGCAGATACCTTTGGCACCTTGAAGCCTGGATACAGAATACAACTCTATTTATATCATGGAAGAATAAGAGGAAATAATTATTTAAAAAGTGAGGTTTATGCCCATGGTCAAGATTCCAATGTTGAAGGCTACAGGAGCCCCAAGTGGCTCCCATGGATGTGTCCCCACCCTACTTTCTGCCCTCCCTCAGGCAGGCGGCCTCTCGCTGCCAACTTGTCTTGCCCTAACCACAGGAAAGCACCGAAGAGTGTGAACTTTGCCTCATTTGAACTGTTTCCTGTGTGAGGGCTGTGTCTTATTTGAAGGAAATGTAAACAGTGGTGAATGATACTTGCATGAGTTTGCTAGGGCTGACCTGATGAGGCGGGCTTGAACGACAGAAATGTCTCACAGTCCTGGGGACTACATGTTTGCGGTGAAGGTGTTGGCGGGGTTAGTTTCTTCTGAGGCCTCTGTGCTGGGCTTGTACACCGCTGTCTTCTCCTTGGGTCTTTACATCACGCACTGGTCTGCTTGGGCTGCTGCGACAAAATACCACAGGCTGGGTGGCTTAAACAGCAGAAATTGGTTTTCTCGGGACGTCTGGGTGGCTCAGTCAGTTGAGCATCTGACTTTGGCTCAGGTCATGATCTCGAGGTTCAAGAGCTCAGGTCCCGCTTCTGCTCTGCGCTGACAGCTCAGAGCCTGGAGCCTTCTTGAGATTCATTGTCTCCCTCTCTCTGCCCCTCCCCTCATGGTCTCTCTCAAAACTAACCATTAAAAAAAAAAAGTGAATGCCCCCTCTCTGTAAAGAGAGCTTTCATACTACTACTCTTCTCTGGTCTTCTACTCTAATAAACTTTTGCTGGCTGCTCAAAATATTTTTTAAAAAAGAAAAAAAGAGATTTGTTTTCTCACAGCTCTGGAGGCTGGAAGTGCAAGCTCAGGGTGCCAGCCGGGACAGTTTCTGGTGACAGTCCCCTTCCTGGCTGAGAGGCGACTTCTCACTGTGTGTTCCAGTGGCAGAGAGCTCTGGTGTCTCCTCTTACAAGACCACTAATCCCCTCATGAGGGCCTGTCTCAGCTCAGGCTGCTGCAACAAAATGCCACAAGTGGGGCAGAGGGTAGGGGGGTCACAAACGACAGTTGTGGAGGCTGGGAGTCCAAGCTCAAGGTGCCACACTGGTCACGTTCTGATGAGGCCATTCTTCCAGGGGGCAGAGTGCCTGACAGTATGTTGCCCTCTCGTGGGGCAGACAGCGGGGGCAGAGGAAGAGAGCTGCCTCAAGACTCTTATCAGCACACTATTCCCATTCACGAAGGCTCTCCCCTCACAACCTCATCTAATGCTACACAGAAGTCTCATCTCCTAACACTGGCACACTGAGGGTGCGATTTTGGAGGACACAAACATCCTGTCCATAACAGGACCCCACCCACACGACCTCATCTAAACCTAATTACCGAAACCTAATGGTGTCCCAAAGTCTCCAACTCCTTCACACTGAGGGGGTTAGGGCTTCAAAATACGAACTGCGTTGGGGGAGGGGGGCCCAAACATTTAGTTCATAGCACATTGTCTTTTCTCTCTTCCAGTCTGTGTGCAAATTTCCTCTCCTTTAAGGACACTACCCACCCCGCCTTGACCTCAGTTGATCTTAATTACCTCTGTAAAGGCCCTATCTCTAAAGATAATCACATGCTGAGATACTGGGACTTAGGATTTTGACATATGAATTTGGGGTGGGGGGGGACACAACTCACCCCAAAATACTACTCTGAGCCTCACAGAATGAAGAGATTTTCCCAAGCGTTACTGACCCCTCCCGTGCCTGTGATATATTCAGATTCACTGCCAGCAGCGTATTAGTATAAGAATGTTCAAACATCCAGAAAGGTTGAAAGAATACCACGATGCTCACCATAAGCCCACCACCTAGACTTCATCACTGG